TTTCTCTTCACTATGCAGGAATGCCAGCCTTGCACTTCTCTGCAGTTATTCATATTTTCCTTCAAAAATACGAGATAAAGGAGATAAAAATCTGTACATAAGCTGTTCACGAAACGTCACTTTGGCAGTCCAGGAATCTCCCTCTATTCATCAAAGGAGATATTTAATTTCCCTGTCAAAATGTTTACTCCAAACAGGGTAATCTACAAAGGTGTTAGCACAACTGTATTTCCATTTTGTTCCAATTTCTAAACAGGCTTTCAATGGGGACAGTGGTTATTTTTCTTTCTTTGATACGGACATATGACCTCTCTGCTTTAGGAAGAGATCACCAAATGATCAGGAACAAGTCAACAGCCTGATGTCAATGACCGGAGTCACCTGGGAACTTCCAAATTCTTCTTCTAAACCCAAAGATAATCAGTTCTGGAGCAAGCATTCTGTTTTCCCTCACCACTTTTCATATTTTATGGGAGGAGAGGGAAGTTTACCATTTCCTGAATGTACATTTCCCAACCCCTAAAATACCTGTTATCTCTCACTTTCTCTCTCATTTGCTCTCTTTGTGAAGTCACATTTTCTTTCCCTGCCCTCTTTTACCAGCTCAGGAAGATGAGGGTGCCATTGCCTAGGCTAAGAAAACAAGCAGGTAAAAATCAACACAGATTTTCCTGATGTGAAAAGGAGGAGGACCAGGACCAAAGAATGAACAGGAGCAGAGGCAGTTGCAGGCCTTACAAAGGAGCTGTCACTCTGTACCCCACTGGCAGGGGATGAAACACGGTTTATTCCTCGCTGTATGCATGAGATTTCAGCAGAGATGTCATGGAGCAACACACTGGGGACCAAATGAGTGTCAAGTGTGACACTTGGCAGCACTGTCTGCCAGGATTTGAACCTGTGGTTCCAGAGAGTCTAGATGTTAGTCTAGGAAATGTAACCTGCTGCTTAGATGATGAAACCATCCCCAATTTAAAGCTTGCAGCCTTATTCCTCTGGAATGTCCCTCCAGATGAATGGAATATCCAACCATGCTGGATAAGCACATTAGCTGGATGCTTTTACTAAAACGATCAGAAGTAAAATAACTCTGTTGACATTTAAATCACCATAATCTGTCTGCAAAGCTAACACTCCATTGAGATGAACAGGAACACTTATTACTTGGGTTTGTATCCATACACTGCATGACTGCACTATATCAGCTTCTATTCGAGAGGTTACCTTTGCAGTCTGAAGGCGGTTAAATTAAAAAGTTGAAGGAGATGTCTCTTACATATGGTCATATGGTCAAGGGAAACACGAATATGACTGAACACGTCCTTTAACAATGAATGAGAACTATTCCATCCACATGGAGCAGAGCTGCAGTGGCTGTCTGATCAGAGACATGAATAAACGTGTTTTTAAAATGGACAAGTGTTGATTTTTATGAAGACCTTGCAATGATGAATTCTCAATAAAGAGATTTCATTAATTTCCCTGAATACTAAATACCTATCTTTAGATTACTGCTGCTTAATATCTGGAATAACTATAATTGGGTCACTACAGCTTCAATCCCCACTTTCACACTTGCATCTAGAATCCAAACAGCTGAAAATAAAATCAGAAATGAGGTAGCAAAACATACCTTAAATTTCTGAAGCAGTGGCACTATTCTAACACTCCAGAGGTAATTATTATCCTTAATAACACCAGATATGATTGAGGCTTTTAACAAAAGGCATGCTGCCTTGAAACCATCTCCTGCTACTCAGAGTTTGACTGCTATGAAAAATTGTCAGCTGAGGAATAAATGTGCATTATTAACGAGAGGTATGGGATGGGATGTGCAAACACTCTGTCCAGAAAAGTCTGGGAAAGGTTAAATTCCTTTGCTGTTGGGAGGAAAAAGTTGCACAACCTGCCTTAGGCAAGGCTAAAAGGAAGACTTTCTAACCATGACATGGAAAGAAAGAAAATAAATAAATAAGTAAACAAATAAATAAATTAACAGGTTTGGAAGAGATTTTAGATCAAATGGATTTGAGGGCAGAGGGTAGAAATGTTTTTTGTAAATACTGAGCACCGTTGTTTCCACACTTTAATAATGTTTTTTTCTACATGTTGGGCGCTACAACCAATTGTCAAAATATTTCTTATTATAAAGTTTTGTTGGTGAAACTAGGCAAATCAGGCATAATTTATCTGATAAAATAATCACATGTATCAGACAGTCGGATAGGTAAATTATCAATTATAATGTTTTCTGTAGAGTAACTCCTGAGACTATGTGCATATTTATTTCAGTAGTGTGTGAAAAGAAGACTGCTGGTGTCAGGTTTGGAGAAATCAGAGATTTTAATACATGCCCTAAGGGACAGGGCATAGTTCTCCATGAGCTTTCTCTAAAGAATTTTATGTACCTTGGAACCAGACTGAGCCTCTGTTTTGAAGATAGGGAGCAAACCAAAATCCCATGCTGCCTCCTGAGCCACCCACTCCAGCTGAGACTCAAAATATTCTTTCAACAATTACTCCAAATTATGTCACCTACAGACAGCAGTTCACGCAGGCACAGTACAGCTGTAAATATGTGATTAGCACTGTGACATGTCTCTCAGGCGTGCAAGTAGGAACACTGATGAGTTCAGGAAACAGTCTCAAAAATAAAATGCTTCTAGTCCTGAGACACGCTGGGAAGATGACTTTGTGATTTGAAATTCTAATGCAAACACTGAACCAGTGACCACGATCCTGCTATTGATTTTACCACGTGTTCTTCTAAACTCTGTTTAAGAGTTATAAGTAGTATATACATGTAAGTATAATATATAAGTATATATGTAGTTATAAGTTTGAATGGACCTTTGACATCGAGCCCGTTAGTTTGACTGTGACACCTTCCTTTAGATTTTTACAGACACATTGGAAGTAGGAGAAAATTTGTTAGGACAAAGATACTATCAAATAACAGAGTCTCAAAATTAACCTTGCAAAAACTTCTGATGAAGATTATGCCCATTAGGATAAGCCTGTGCCAAGAGCAACACAGGAGAGTGCTCCCAGAGGGGCAATTGGTTGCGAGGGCTGGAAGCGTTCAAGCTGCCCTTTCACAGAGATGGTGTTCAAACGTGTAGAACATACATGAAAAACCCAGATGGGTTTATGGAGGTCAAGGGAATGTTATGCTATGCTGTTATTCTTTATGCTACAATGCTTTCTCCTTTCTTGTTATATTCCTGAACGGTTCAGTTCACTGGAATGAAATATAAAGCCATGGCTTCTGACCATCTTTGCCTTCTATGTATTTACATATTTTACATAACTATTCCTAATACCTCAGTAAGTGCTATTGAAGATACCTTTGCATTTCTCTCTTTTATATACCAAAACATAAAGAGGCTTGTCTTAAATTAGAAAGAAAGTCTCTGACAAACCGGAAAGAGCAAATAGTAATTTTCTGAATCTGTCAAGTGTCAACAGCATGCAGAATGTGTCCCAAATTCGCCCCTTGTGTCTTAGGTGTAGTCAGAAGGACAACAAGAGAGCTGCGTGGCAAACAAGACAGGTGGATCGATATCAGAACACATGACTCTTGGGAACAAGCGATGATAATGTGAGAACAGAAGAAAATTCAAGAACATGCTCCAGGGCATGCAGAAATACAGGCAAAGTTGGACAAGAAGTCAAAGAGAAGGACCTGAATAGACGAGGGGTGAGAGGAAGAAGTCCTCTGGTGAGCAGTGACCACCACACTGGGAAAGGCAATGCTGACAGAGCTCTGCTGGTTGAATTCCCGTTCTGTCTTGGTCCACACATTCACAGATAGGCTTATGTATGGTACATACATACACCACATCCATGGCACATACACCATGTGCCTCTGGTGACAGCAGCAGGTGCTGTTCAATAATGTAAGAGGGTAAATTCTCCCACACAAAAAATCCCATTTTGATATTGAAATCAACAAAAAGCAGTAATTGCTGTGCCTGGCAGCTTGAACCTGGGGTCAGTTTGAATTTCAGTAATTGTTATATTCCACCTCTTTCAGTGCTCAGGCTCCACTACAAATTGTGTGATTACAAAGAATGGTTTCAGAAGTTTTCAGTTAAGAGGGCTTTTTTACAATAGGAGAATGCCAGCAATCACCACGCTTTTATACAAAGAACTCAGCTCGAGTCAAGATAGATTTCAACTTTGACACAAAAAGCAGAGAAACAGATTAGCTGGCAGTTTTTTAAGCAGTTGGCAGGGAATAACTATAAATTCACTTCTCCCACTGGCTTAAAAAGAAATTTGTTGAACTTATTACTGGAAAGAGACTCATCCAGGAGATTGTTCCTATCAGAACACTGCATGTACAGCAGCATTTCAGCTCAGAGTTTCAAAAACATGTTTCCCGAGATTTCGAAGCCATATGAACGCTACCTTATTTTCTAATTATTCCTTTGATACTTAGGATTGAGTTGTTTTAAAAGGTGTAAACTCAGCTCCTCACATTTACTCAGCCTCTTCAGAAGTCTCACCTTTCTCTTTCTTACTAAATTTTTTTTCATCAAACACAAAACATTGTCTGGTACATAGACGCGGAAGTGTGATTTTCGGTTTCTCACTGCAAGACATGATGGCAAATCGTTTAATTTTAACTTCACAGATTGTAAGGTGCCCGAATACAACATCTCTACCTCCAGTGAAATAAACACGAGCAGAAAGATGGACCGAACTGCTAATCTGTCTTATACCACCAAGGTCACGGAGGGCACGCTAGGTCAGTGCATTAAGTCCTGAGTGCCAGTAATAGCCGCTCTTCCTTTAAGATGTCACTTTGCATTTGTCTAGAGAAATCAAGAAAGGAGTTAAATACGCAGTAATGCAGGTGACAGGCAGAGTATGTGATTTTTAATCAGTAAATTGGTTTACAGAAGCAAACTTTCTGTTAAATTGGCTTTCAATGTTAGCGCAATGTACAACAAATAGACTTTCACCACAGAATGATTTTATTCATAAAAACTCACCTAATATATGGGCATCTTCTTATTCCTGAATTCAGATTTGTAAGTGATGGAAGCTCTGGGCTTCATCTCAGATACACAGTTATAGGAAACATTGCAGCTGCAGTCACACAAGGATGGTAAGGGAGAGGCGAACACGTCTAGGCCAGGCAGCCTGACCCCTCCTGTAATTTTCAAAAGTAGGCAAAAAGAATGCTTTTGCCTTGTTTTCCTATGAACAGCTAATGTGATTTGGACATCTAAATCCCTCTTGTGCTCTTCTAACTTACAAAATTATCAGGAGGCCTCAAAATATATCTTAATAAGGTAAATTCCTGGGTTGTTGGTTGTGGGCTTTTGTTTTGATTCTTGTTTAATCATCATTGTTGTGCAATGTGGCAAATGTCAGAATTCCCAGCATTTCTTTCAAAGTTATTTTCTTCATGGAAATGTACATAAGAGGTGAAAGAATGGAAAGAATTGGAATATCTCCGGTCGTTGGATAATCCAAAGGCCTTAATAGTGGACGTCCTGACTATAACCAGACGGCTGCTGGCTGCCAAACTATTCTCATCTTCAGCACGAGCAATATTTTAGTAGCTCATTTGTCACAGCAGCATTAGACAGCTTGGTTTGTGCCCCCAGCTTTTGTCAAAGGTCTAAAACAAGGCTACAAAAGTGGCTTGCAACCTTTTACAAGTAAACCTGGCAGCCTTTAGTTACCTTCCACCCTCCGTACCTCCTCCCCGCTTCCAGGCCTGTGGCTCTTCACCATTTCTTCACCATTTCAAGGATCACAATCCTTGGAACGGACCCAGTTTTACAAATAAGAAAGTACTTAAGTTATCTTCTTAGACTACTTATATGGAAGCACAGCTGAGCGATGTAAGGCCTCGAAGAAGCCAATGCCCTCCTGTCCTAAGGCTCCCAGTGCTCCCTGCAGCCCTGGGCTCCAGCACCAGCTCCGTGGTGTTTCACAACTACCTGGCTGTGCCCAGAAGCTGCTGCCTGAGCACAGCCCTCACTCCTCTGCTCTCTGCCCTCCCCTCCCACGCTCCAACCAAGTGAAAACTTCAGCTGCTGTTCCTGTCAAAAAAACCACGCAGCGCTTGGGCTGGGCGTTGGGCACGAGTAGCTGTGGCAGCACCGCGGTTATCAGCGCTGCCTTCTCATCATGCCTGCACTCCAGGCCTCCCCCTCGGAGCTGAATTTTTGTTCCCCACATCCTGCACGGTCCCACGAGCCCCTCCCAGCCTCCCCCACATTTTTCACTCCCTACTATGAGTGCCTAGACTCCTGGAGCACCTTGGGATCTGCATCCTGAAGATCCTCGACCCTCTGCTTCGCTTGCTGTCAGATCCCTCACCCACTTCTCCACCCTCCTTTTCCCATAGTTTTCAAGATTTTTCTGCATTTCCCGAGTCTTCACGTGTGAAGCCTGTGGGCTTGGTCACTTCTGGATCGGAAAAGGAACATCACATCCACAAACATAACTGCAAGGTCCCATCACTCCAGCTTGTAACATCCTTGACACAAGAGCGATGTATTGTAGGCTAATTCTGATGATCAAACCCAGCTTCCACGTTGCAGAAGCCAGAACAAATCACAGCCTGCTGAGGAAGGCTGTAAATCATCCCACTTCAACAGCTAGTGGAGATGGACTGAATCATTTTTCATACTGTCTCCCACAGAAAAATGTGGGAGAAAAGGTGATTAGCATTCCAGTTAATAGAGCCCAAAGCTATTAATAATAAATCCATTAGAACTTTTAATTAAAACCTCAAAACTAGACAGACGAAATTCACCCCATAAAATAAAATTAATCTATAATATCAGTAATAATTAGCAAAGTATCCTGTAGGATTAAAAATAATTAAAATAATTACATTTTGAAGTATTTTTAAATAGGTAATAGACTGCTTCAAAGAAGCTAATAAAATTATATTCAGAACCTGTAGGCTACTGTCCTGGCACGACATACCTTGAGTACAGTCTAAAATAATGAATTTACAAGTGATTAAGTAGCATCAGGCACTAGATATTTATTTTGAATGATCTTGCTTTCCTTCCTGAAGATAACAAACAGTAGGGGACCCCTTTAGCAAAAACGTTAACAGTGAAATTTAGTGTGTTGCCCATTGCTCATAAAGACCAACAAGCAAGCAGAGAGGAAAGACCCACGAGACAGCTAGACAATTACAGGGTTAGACAACAGCATACACAAGCACAAAGCCCAAAATTCCCGTGCAGGCACCAAAATAAACTGGCAGTTATCAGGGGTGATAGGAACTGGCCTTACTGGCAATGGGCAAAATAATTGCTAATAATTCGGAGATATTTTTCTGAGGGAGCTGTCATCAAAAAGGGCAGTGACTAAAGAAGAGCAACCCGGTGAAGTAGCCAGAGGAGACCAAACAAGGAAAACTATGTGTCAATATAAAGTTAAGGGAGGGTCAGTAGGGAAAACCCAACAACAGAACCCCCGGTTCTCATTGCATTACAGAGACTCAACGGACTCAGTCAAAAGTTGATCAAAGAAGGCATTCTCCAAAGCACAACAAGGAAAATTACGCCGTGGTGTACGTTCATTAATTGACTGGAAGCTTAAGTGATCTTACTTGTCTGAGGTTTTCTGTTTACAGGCACTGCCGATTTTTTTTGTTGCAGAGAATATGCAAGAGCACGAAGAACATGAGAGAACGGGGAACAGAATTATACGATTTCCACGAGACATGACAAGTTTAGGCATACAGCTTAAGATTTTAAAACACAGTTCTACTATACATAATTGGCTCTGAACCAACCATTTAGCTAAGTAAGATTTATGTAAACTCCTGTTTCTCAAGACAGATATCTAAATTGCACTCCACCCATACTGAATCTGCCAAACATTTTTTGCTCATAAACAACCCTACTCAGAGATGTATAGAGCTTGGGGAAAGAGAAAAGGAAAACTCAGTGCTAAAAACCCTAAGTAGGAAATATATTTCTGGAAAAAATTATCATATGCAAAGGAGTTTAAGTAGCATACCAAAATTCAAAACATGTAGGAACAGAGCAGCATTACATGGGCAATTGAGTTCCCATATTATAAGACATGCAAGTAATAGAGGAAATCATAAGTAGCACTCACACTTCAGAAACAATCCAGTTATATAGCAAAAAAAAAAAAAGAAGGAAAAAAAAAAAGGCAATGTATTTTTTGCCCCCCCCCCCAAAAAATAATGATTTATTTCAAAATTAAAAGATTTTTTTTAAAGTTTTAGAAATTATAAATTTTGAACTTTCCATTACAAATTACAGAATAACATAAAAACACTGAAAATACAAGCCAAATAAAAGCTGTTGTAGATTAAATTTCAGGCACCTACACACTCAAGACTCGAAAGCTAAATTTCCCTGGGCACAAAACAGACCAAACAATTCTGGTTATTCCTCTTTGAATGGTGAAATAAATTTTCAGCTTTTGTTGTTAAATTCCTCTGGTAATATTATCAATACCTCCTTCAGAAATGAAGTAACGCATTTTTTGTTTGTTTGCTTGCATACATGTGTGTGTGTGTTGTTTTGTATTTTGTGGCTTATCTCTTCACACATGGTATAAACAGAAAATACCTTGAAAGGATATGAATGAAAATATGAAAGAATGAAATAGAAGCAAAAACCGTTTTATAGGAGAAGAGGATGTGGAATACTGACAAGAGTGGAACAAGCAAATAAGTGAGGCATCAAATCTGAGGAATCAAAATGAAGTATGGTTGTGCATAATACAAGACAACTCCACGTTAGATGCTAACATAGTATGTAACGAAGTAGTGTGCACGGTTCTCTCCCTCTCAAGTAGTGAGGGTGGTGGTTCCAGAGAAAAAATGCACAAGAATTCTGATGTCTACACATCAGCAAAGTCCACTGAGTTACAGCTTTCCGAACAGGGACATACGCTGTATCTTCCTCTTGCTCCTTGCTCTCCTAGATCACCTTCCAGAACATGAGAGACATTGGCAAAGCCCTCACGCATTTGTGCTGGAGAGGCCATAGATGATATGGAGTAAAACTTCATGCTGCATCAGTTGATTTTGAAATAAAAACCCTATTGGGTTCCAAGGGATCCACAGGAAAAAGGATGATCTATTACCTGAAGTTCAGCCAAGGTCTTCTCCAAAAAGCTGTCCACAGGATTTGACAGATGGCCTGAAGAAAAGTTGTCAGCAGTTGAAATGAGTTTTCTGTCTCCTTAAATACACAGTGATGAGATAAAAACTAGTTTTATGGTTATGCCTGCACGGCCATATTGAAGAGTACAAGCCCAAGCACTGTACCTTGTTTGTCCACATTTCTTAATTCTTAACTTTCCTGTAGACCTGTTTTTGAAGCTATCCAGCTAGATCTCCCCAAGACAAACCCAGGCAGTGGCTTGGGACGTGGTTCTCCTTAGGAACGGTTGCAAAAGTCAGCAAGGAAAACATCACATCAGTGCTGGCTCCCTGCACCCAAAACAATCTGCCAGCACAGTCCTAGAAGTCACTGTGTCCTCAGTCTCCCCTAAATGTCTTCATACCTCAGAGACCCAAGCTGGGGGAATGATGTGACCAACCTTCTTCAGATGGAGTCACCAGAAGTCTTTGCACCATTGGGATTTGGAACTGCTGCCCAACTCCCTTGTATTTAGCAGTATAAGTGTGCCCAATCAGCCCACTCCCAACTCATGTTAGTTGCTCCATTTGAAACCCTTTCAATTTACTGAAGATTGCTGTCAAAATCTTAACATGAAATGGGAACGAGAAGAAGCAGAACTTTGTTTTGTCTGGCACCTTTATACAGAGGTGTGAATTCAGAGATACTTTTATGAACTGTATTTTTGAGAGCTATATTGCTGAACATGTTAAGCATTTTCCTAAGTTTATCAAAATAGCTCCACTCTCTTTCTCATTTACATCGTATGTAACCAGAAGATGAGGTGGGATCGTTAGATGTTATGGGCTATCGTGCTGACAGTATGTCAGAAATGCACAGCTGTATATCTTCTCATCAGAAGCACATAATGCTGTCATTTAGCTAACCAAGCATCTGAAAGACATAAGCAGCTGGCTCCTACTTACCTATTTAAGACACTGGTAGGGAACAGAAAGCAATTTGATAAATGGGCTCTTGCCTGTTCCCATTATTGAAGCCATTTGTCTGTAAGCAGAGAGTAGATTTGTACACCTCCTCAATAGCACCTTTGCTTGATATCAAAACATCAAATATGCCAAAAATTAAAATTCTCCAGTGATGAATAGAAGATCTCACAGACATAAATCATCTTTGATAGCTTTATAACTGGAATGCAGCAACTCTTCTATTTCCCTGAACAGAAATAAAGGCCATGGAAGTGTCTTCCAGTGCCATGCAGCTGAACACCTCCAATCTCAATTACATTAGGGAAACCCCATCCTGTTGGTGGTTCCTGGATATCCATCCAATACCAAGTCCACATCCTTCTAAAGTCCAGAGGTACATACACACACAGACTGAAAACAAATACATAATGTTAATAAACAGAATGAAAAAAATGCAATAATTAAAAGCAAACATACTGGAGTGTTATGTATAGACATAACATAAAAATGAAAAATGAATCAAGAACAACAATAAAATCCCTAAGAAGATGTTGTGGTTTTAAGAATGATAAAAACATTCAAAAGAAAGGAATCAGAGACACAGCAGATTGAGAGAACAGAGAAGAATATCCTTCAGCTTCAAAAAACTGCAAAAAGTCAAAAGCAGAGACACAATTATCTGAAATTCTTTTAAAGTAGAAAAATAAAATAAAATAAAAAATATTTAGCAAGGTAACAGTGAATAGCTCTCTGAGTTAGCAATTGAGTTTGGCAGTAAAAGTGAAAAGCCAAAGTGACACACACTTGCATACACTGAGACTCCAGCTGAAGCTTTTCATTACCAGAATGATTTAAATTAATGACACGAGATTCATGGAAGAATAATAAAAATGGTAAGTGAACAGAGACAAATGAAAAATCATTAGAACTTAAAAAAAAAAAAAAAAAAAAAAAAAACTCTGATATATACATCATAATTTAACACAATTACGAATAAGTCGGGGGGAAATGAGGACTGCCTACACATTTTTAAATGGTATAAATATTAGTGCTGAAATTGCTGTAT